GCTTAAGAATCGCTGGGTAAATCGCGAGCATTTTAATGTCAACGTGAAACAGCGTCTTAGCGTGCCGTCGTATCCATGGGCGTAAACTATAGCGTCTCTCAGCGTCCCTCGGCGTCTGTCCAAGGGCACTAACCGAGCGTTGGAAAGGACGCAGTGCGACGCGCAACAGCAACGGGACCTAAAAATATTCGGTCTTGCTCATCACTGCTCATAACTTGGGAGCCACGGGTCTATGCGCTCTGCGTCTGTCAAGCTGTCGGTTAGCCCTCCAGCCCAAATGGGATCTGCTTCCACTCGTAAGCCGACGACCGCACATGGGCGCGATAGAATTGTCGCCGCGAGAAGGTAGCTTCGATTCTCGAGTCCTTTGCCCGTGATCCCCCGCCATGGTGCCCCTCGCGGAAGAAAAAATTGTACTTGAGCGCGTTTCTGGGCGCTCGTTGATTTTTTTCCGTATGCGCGTCGGTGCGCGTCCGTGCATATGCGTGCGTGTAAAACCCATGCGCGCGTTTGCTGCGCGTGCGGCGCGTGAGAGCGTGTTTTGCGAGGTTTGTCCGGGCACGAGTCTTTGTGTGCTACTCACTGCGATCGTCCGTCGTTGGAGTGGGCGCGTCTCTGCACGTGCTTCCGCGTAGGTGTTTGCACTCTTGTATCGATCCGTTTCTAGACGAGTTTGTATTTGGCCAAACCAACTGCGCAGGAACCAGATTTGCGTGAGGCAAAGAGTCTGTCGACAGCATTGCAGCGGCTCTGACAGCCAAATCCGCAAGACCAGATGCTTCGTTGAAACGATTAGCACCAACCGCGAGCCGCAGAAATAGAATTCAGCCAAGGGGCCATTATCGCCTCCTTCCTCTCCGTTCTCGCTCACATCCCGGCGCTTCGGGTCGCCCAGCTGGCGATTTTTCTCGATAGCGGCTCCCCGCCAACGAGGGCATTTGCATGCGGCGACGGGCATCCGCGGCTAGGGGCCACGTGCCTCCGTCGAGCCCCTTTCGCCGCCTCGGCTCCGCAAGGAAAGGATCTGAGCGGCGCGATCGCGGGGAAGCCACGGGGCCCGGGGGTCACTATGGCAACCGTAGCGTGAATCGTTAACGCATCCCGGATCCCGATGCCGGTGGCGTGCTTCGAAGGAAAGGGGCGCTGCCAGGGATTCCGCGCGATTCCGAGACAAGGCCCGCTCAACGCGTCATCGATCTCTGCTGGACGCGCCGGCGGTGCCGCGGACGCAAGCTAGGCGGCGCTCCGTGAATGCACTCGTGATGACGTGGAAAGGGAGGAGGGGAGCGCAGGCCTTGTCTACGCGGGAGTATTGGTCCGCAGCGGCAGGCCAGCTAACAGGCCTCGGGCTGTCCGCAAGACTTCCGCCTGTTCTCTCCGGGTATTGAAGGAACGGGCGCTGTTAGGTCCCTGCCGCTTCATTAACCCCTTTGGCCCATACTGCGGCGTATCGCGCGGGGCTGGCGAGCGCCTGTTGTGTGCCGACGCTGTCGACCGTGTCCTTCTTACTTTCTCTCTTTATATCGGAGATGAGGTGGAGCTTTCTTTGTGCGTGTTTCGAGCTTATCTCTCCCGCTATTTGGTCGAGACGTCCGACTAGGAATTCGATAAAGGTAACCTTAGGGTGAATGAAAAAAAGAAGTAAAATAACCTGTTATCATAAAATGCTGAACATCTCTCCAACGGAAAAAGTGTGCGCGCGCAGGCGAGCTGGTGAAAAGTGTACGTGACTTAACCTGGGACGGGGAATGAAAAAAAAAAGCCCCCCAAAAATAAGGGACAAACACAACGTCTCTCAAGATGGAGACGTTGTGTGTTGTTCCTCGTCATCTCTTCAACTTTCCGACGCATTACTATTAAAGGGCCCCTGAAAATAACAAAAATGTATTTTTTTAAACATTCTGGTCGTGTCAAAAAAATAAACTTTACGCGAAACAAAAATTAGAGCAATATTGATGGCGTGAGACGGGACTTCGTCGGTAGTCACCTCCTTTCCATTTGTTTTCTCTCTGGGCATTTCGGGCGCGTGGCGGAGAGGTGGATCGGCTTCGCCTGCACGACCGCGATGGTCATTCCGGAATGACCCGTGACGTCATGAACTTTGCGCGCAGAATTTAAGATAAATTTCTCGCCGTTAATATTGCTCTAAAACTTTTCTTTTCCACGTAAAATTTAGTTTTTGACACGCTTATCCCATCCAAACTGTTTAAAAAAAAAAGTTTTTTTTTTCTTTTTAGGGGCTCTTTAAGGTTTTGACGCCGTGCGTCAACGTGTTGGTTTTAAATCGATAAACAAAAACGCAATGTAAAAAATTTTCTTTTTTAAGCAACATTAACAGCAGGTCGTAGATGCTCATGGAAGCGAGCCCCGAGAGATGTTTGAGTCCTACCAAGTTTCACGCCTAATTTCACGTTTTCGTTTTTTTTTTCTTTTTTTTTTTTTTTTGTAGTGAACAGCGTATGTACTTTTGAAACCGTAGTTTTAATAAACAACGCCCAGGGAAGACCAACATGAAGGGTTTGATGTACGATGCCCTGGCACGCTCCATCGGGGGACTTGGAGATCAATGGAGACCACCGGAGCACCTTTGGCCTTTAAACCAAAATTTCAATCACGTAGCGCCTTCGTTTCAAACATTTTCCTTCATATTGCGGACAGATCGACCGAGCCCACCAACAAGGAACCCGTAAGCCGACATTTTGCACCATTACGATTTTTCCTCCTTTACTCAGAGCCGCCGAGGAACCTGTAAAATACTCCCAATGACGTCCGCGTAGAGTGCCTGTAACCATCGTTCTGTGGATGTTCGATTCAAGTTGTTGTGATGGGGCAAACTGGCGGTGCCGGGGTTCAGAGGGTTCAGATGCAGTAGCGATTCCGCGCAAGAGCTATCGTTATGCGAGTGTACCTAATTCATTCTCCGGGGACCACGGCAATATATTCAACTTCCCGAAGGGCCCGCATGGAGACTTCTTTGTGACCGCGAAATCACCCCGAAAAATACCCGTCAAACCGAGCATGCCGAGACTGAGAACAAAGTCAACAAAAAGGTCCGGAAGACCTTCTTAGAAGAAACTACGTCTCGGCTAAATAAGTAAGCGCATGGTTGCTTCTGTTTTCGTTCCCCCGTCCCCCAGGTTTCTTCAGCATGATCGCTGAGCAGCTCGCCTGAGCTGCAGCTCTTATTTCCCCGAGGACGTCAGACGTCCTAATTAGTATCTCCGTGCGGATAGCTTTTACTATGTTTTTAGGAATTTGTTTTAGTGCCTCGTACCGTAAATAGAGCGACAAAAAGAAAGTGCTGCTCGCGTAGACACGTCACGCACGCACCGCTTGTTAGCGACATCTTTTGAGCTTCAGAGTCACCAAATGATCGCGCAAGGACATGTTGGCGAACGAGCGATACCGAAAAAAAAAAAAATTGCTCGGATGGCCCCCCAAATAAAATTCTACTTTGCTTTGTTGGCGAACAAAGATTGGTGTTTTTCGCGATAGTGAGGTTAGGGAGTCCAGTCCCACTGCTCATTCGTGATACGAACGAAATGGTGTTTGCCGCAGACACGATGATGACACATTTCTCTGCGGATACGCCTCAACTATGATCAGGGCATGATTACTTCACACGTTTCCGTTTTTGTACGACAAATATGGCGCGAGAAAGGCCTCCGAGAGTGCCTGAAGACTGTCTTTAGGGGGGCCCGTCGACGAGCGGGCCCCCGAAAGATAATGCGGGCCGCTAATACGTACCGCTACCCAAGTACCCAAACGCTCAAGCCTGCTTTCCGTACAGCATTGTGGCACGCCAATCGATGACTTTGAAATCGCGGTCATGTGCGGTCAGAGTGAAATCTTGATGGCCGGTTCTCGCGTAATTCCGATCAAAAGCAAATACCAGGGCCGGCATTCTTCTTTTTTTGAAGAGATTACGGGCTACTCGATAAGAAGGCCCTAGATGAAACCAGCACCGCAACTTTCGTCCCACGGGTCGGATTTCGTCGGCTGCTCGAGCTTCCCAACCTAAATGTTTTCCTTACGTTTCGTTTTTGTTTTTGTTTTTTTAATTTTTTTTTATGGTTTTAGGAGGATTAGTTTATGCCAAAGAGAAACCTAAACTGGTTCGAGTCTCCGGTACAAGTGGAGAATACAAAATGTAGTACTCTGAAAACGTTATTTTTACTCATCGAGATGTTTACCACGAAGTACGGCAGGCGAGCCATGGTAAGCTGTAATCTTTCTTCACTTAGAGGCACATGTTAATACAAGCACCGCCGACTTGGGATGCAGAACAGAATGAAGCTGATAACAATGATAACCACGCTTACGAATGATAACAAACTATTCTCGTTCGTCGCTCGCTTCCAATAATGCAGCAGTCATTGCATTTTTGCGGTGCTTTTTTTCGCCTTGGGAGCCGAATTCAGCGATTATTTCGACTGCTCATTGGCGCCCATGCCACTGTTCTTTGTTTGGCGTGATGGGAAATTTTGAAGAAAGAATAGTTAGAAAGCCTAGGGAGGGGCGTAACCCTTCGTGTGTCGTCCTATCGCCAGCAGCCAATCCCAGCTACAAGACAAGGCCTGCATGATGACGCCATCGCAAGTGGATCTTCCGATCGGCCCCGCGCGGCAAACTCGCTGACGTTCGACGAGGGCCGCCACAAAGCGCCCGGAGGGTCCGCCTCGGCGTCACAGCGTTCTAGAATCGCGCACCTTGTGAGACGCTGTACGACGCGCTGCCGGTGATTCTGACGCGAGGTGGGCGGCACTGCCTGGCATACACTAGTGATGACGTTTGGGGGCAGACCTCGTCTTCTATACTTGGTATCGCTGCAGCCGGCTCCGCGATCTTCAGGGAGATATCCACGGCCGCCGCTGAATTGCAACAAACTTGAGTTGGGCAAGTCCTCGGTGTTCCGCCCATTGCGACTCGGCCCTTGGCCCGTATGGCGGGATCGCGGGTCTGGTTCCTGGGAGTGTCGTTGATTGGCGCTTTCCTTTCAGGTGATCGATTCGCTTCGCAGCGAGACGCTGGCGACCAAGGAGCAGCGGGACCGGGCCGTCTTTTTCGTGCATCCTCTTCCGCCGGGCACCGAGTTCATCGTCCGCGCGTTTGCCCAAAACGCCAAGGGCCGCAGCGACAGCGACATCTTCACCACCAGCACCGAAGAACTGAGCACGGGCAGCAATGGTGAGTAGACCCTTTTCCATCCAGCGACGTGGGCTGTCGCCGTTTCTGGAGCACGAAGCCTGGATCCGAGTCCTCACCGAGCGCCGACTCAACCCTCGTGTCCAATGCCTGCTCAGCAGAGTCCAATTGGCACAGCCGCTACAAGCTGGCGTCCACTTTTCCAAAAGGTAGATTTTGTTGACGAAGCCCCATGAACACAACTGATACATCATACGAAAGACGTGTTTGTTGCAGACACCATGAAAAAAGAATCTTCGGAGGCTTCGTACGATTCGTTTGCTTCCAACATATCTGCAGACAGTTGGAACGCAAAATGTGCCTAAGGTCTGGGATTTCCGAGGATAGCGTGACGGAACGCCACAAAAACCCTCTGGGATATTGCTACCAACAGAGGTACCCATAGAGTAACCAAAGGGTTATCTCAACAGCGGCAATGGTCTCAGAGGAGACGTCAAAAGCAGTAGCGCGGTCCCCACATCCCCGCGGCAATATAGACGACGTTTAGGGCCACATTACCGCGGGTTGGTTCAATAAATTACCTCCTTCGGTGCCAATGATCGGGTACCTTGTCTCACTCTGTCGAAGATAGCAAAAGAGAAGACACACGTACCAGAGTAAGGACAGAGTCCAAAGCAATTTACTAAAACACTCTTCTAAGTGAACTACAATGTCCCCATCCAAAATGCCCCCCGCGCCGACAAGGTAAAAAAAGTTCCTTACCTGCCGGACGCGGGGTTCCGGAAAGCCAAGATCGGGGAAGCATTGGAGAGGTCGCCGACAGACGTCCTATCTGTCTCGCGGTCACCGGACGAAAGGGAAAGTCACTTTCCCTTTCGGGAAAGGGACTTCCCCGAAAGCGGGAAAACAAGAGGCGAAACCTCGTCGCCTGTCAGCAGTGATCCGCTTCCGAGCAGGGGAACGGAAAGAGGTCCTTCCGAGAGAGGGTGAGAGGAGGGCCCCCCAAGCCAGGCGACTCCCCGCATCACGAACAGGTCGGAGCTCACGGCGAAAGAGACCGAGCGTTCCGACCCGCGGCTGTTATCGCAGCCATCGGGGAACAGAGATCACAGGAACACCCAGAACCCTTAAAAATGTGGAACACGCACTTCAGAGAACAATCGGTACGAAATCACGCGTAATTTCGAACGTGCTCCGACGTGAATCAAACCCAGGACTACACGATTACGAGATTGCCAACCTCGCATTGCGCCAAAAAGGCAGTCGCAATGTGTCGGCACCGTAGAGGCCGTGGCAAAGGCCGCTCGCCGTCATGAGGCGTTCGAACACCATTGAGCAGTGAGCAGAGACGCAAGACGACGAGCTTTGCGTCCACCCGATAATCATTTGAACCGTAGCGTCCCCTCCCTTCTCCTGCTCTCCCTCACTTGCGACGTGTACAATTAGAAAGAAAAAAAGAACTGCAAAGTTTGCTGTAGGTGGCTAATCGCAAAGATTAGCCACCTACATGATGTCCCCCTGGCCGTATACGTCACCTGCACAAACTGTCGTCTTAATAGCCCATGCGCACAACTTACATAGCCGCAGAAATGACGAGCGTGTTAAGAGAGATTAAAACGGAGTTTCTAGTGTCTGTCATACAGGGAGTAACGTAGCGATAACAATTTCTGCAAAAAGGGGAACAAAGGACGAACACAAATCTCCAAACACAGCTGGGTGGCTGGCGCGCCACTGAACAAAACCGCCTGTTCCTGGTATCCAACCGGAGACCTCTTTCTTTGCAGTGGAACGCTCTACCAACTAAAGTACTAAAAAAAAAATTTTTTTTTGAGGGGGGGGGGGGGGGAATTAGGTTTAGTTATTTGCGCGCTCCACTGGAAATGTGGAGGTCACTGGTTTACCAGGACCAGGCGGATTTTTTCAATCGCGCACCAGTCACCTCGATGTGTTTGGGGATTTGTGTTCGTCCTTTGTTCCCCTTGTTCCTGTTCTCCGGGGATTATTATCGTTATCCTTGTCTAGCTCACTCGTACCTTCGCATTAATTGCATTATCATCGGAGTAACGTAGGTTGTCTTCGGTCGGCGCGGGCGCGTTCGTTTTGGGGGCTTCACCGCAGAGTGACAGTGCTTGCCGTGAAGCCAGCTTTCCGTTACGACGCTTTCGAGGATGGCGAACTTCACGGGTGGGTCACGAAGGATAAGCGGTGAAAAGCCCGAGGTGATCGACTACAGCTTGATACGTTGTGTGGGCGTGAATTCTTATAGATTTATAAACGATTTTTTTATAATATACTTCAGCTTAAAAACAAAATCTGTACTGCTGTTTTTGTTTGACCGACGTGACAGGACTGTCATACAAGGAAGACAGACGCCTGAGATGCGTGTCTGCACACTGGTAGAATATATTAAGAGTCTTACAGCGGCCTTACGGTACAGTGCGTTCCAGGAGTGTAGCCAGGGGGGAGGGGCGGGGAGGTCTAAGAACACCCTCCCTCCGAAATGCAGCCCACCCTATACATTAATGTGCAGATGCATTGCGTTCCCTCTTTCCCAAGTCATGGAGTTTCAGCTCCCCCAACCCGAAAACACTTCCTGGCTACGCCGCTGGAGTGCGCTAGCAGTTCAAGAGGAGAGAAAGGAGGAACTCCGAACTCTCGCTCGGACCTTTCTTCGTGCACCCAGACCCCCGTAGAAGATTAGCACGTCGCTCAAAATTTGGACAAACGTTGCTTTCCCCTCGAACTCTCTCCTCCGTGACTTCCGCAGTTCTGCGCGAGACTACCCTCCTCACCTCTCAGCTGACAGTGCTGTGGAAGCTACGTGCACGTTGGAACAGTCACACTCGTATATTTTGCCACCTGTTCACGCGTATCCACTTGAGCAGAATAGGTCAGGTGATGCGAGGGAGGCGGAAGATTGGACCGGCAAGCGCGTCACCGCACTGTCAGCTTAGTGGTGACCGGAGTATAGTAAGGTAGTCTCGTGACGCAGTTTTCGTGTCCAATGCATGAGCTGGGGCTGGCACGCCTTTTGGGCACCGCGGATGTATCGCAGTGAAAGGGCAAAGAGAGGAAAGTAGGTACGAACTAGACCGCTATGTTTTCCCATTTTCGCACCGAAAAGTAGGCTTTCGACTTTCCAGCCTCTTTTTTTTTTTTTGGCGCACTAAACAATATGTGATTAGTGAAGTCTCAATCTAAATTATTTTTATCCCATCCCAAGTTGAATTCCATGGCCCCTTTAAGGTTCTGAGCGCTGTCAAGGTCAAGGAGACGCAGAAACGCATACACGCAGACTAAGAGCGTCAAGTATCTGCGCTCGATTCGATGGGCCAGCGGATGAGGACGCACTAAGAGACGGCGATCCCCATGCCGTTACGTTTTCACTGTTGAATGATTGGCAGCTTGGCTCGTAGCGTAGGCTGTGCTCCGACTTAAGCTGACACCGAGTTCAGAGATGTTTAAAATGACTAATGTGTGTGTGTGTGTGTGTGTGTGTGTGTGTGTGTGTGTGTGTGTGTGTGTGTGTGTGTGTGTGTGTGTGTGTGTGTGTGTGTGTGTGTGTGTGTGTGTGTGTGTGTGTGTGTGTGTGTGTGTGTGTGTGTGTGTGTGTGTGTGTGTTTGTTTGTTTGTTTGTTTGTTTGTTTGTTTGTTTGTTTCGGGGGGGTTGGGGAGCGGAAGGGGGGCAGGTGCAAACTCTGTGGGCGCAGGAAAAATCTTTATGCGCTGATTTGTGCAGCGTAATGAAGCGGGGAAATATTAGCGATCGGTCGCGGAAAATGGTGTCGCCATTGTTTCGTGTGTTACGCGTTCGCACCAAGAACCTGATCGAGCGGCAGTGCCCCCCTATAGTGGTGCATCCTACTTACGAGGTATCTATGTCAGGAGTGAATGCGCCTCGTTGTCGTTGCGGTCGCCTCGTTTCCGCGTGAGTTGGTTGCCAAAGGAGGGCTTTGCAGCGTGCCGTGCTCCCGCACACTTCCGGCCACTGCGTGCATTGGCCGTTCTTCAGCGTGCCGCCAAAGACGATACTTATTCTCGGGAAACTATAAATCTGCACGCCGTCGAGGAGGAGTGCAAAAAAAAAAGTAAAAAAGGAGAAGAAAAGAAGAAAAGAATGTTTTTGATGTTAGTGCTTCGAAAGGTGTTTATTTTGTTGTCCCCGCACTTGACGGGTCACGTCTTTTAGGCAGTATGCGTGAAATAAGAAAGCGTCCTTCGTTCGTGAAAAGTGAAATACACACCACGCGCGTCCAGCTACGAAAGATGCCTTCCTTCCAGCGCGATTATAGAAGGAAAACATGTTAGAACATGTTTCGATTCTTCTCTCCTTGAAGTGTGAAACAGTCGCGAGGGCACGAAAGGCCGGAAAAAAAGCGAACGAGTTGCGGGAGTACCTAGAGTTTCTGTATATGCTCCCTACGGGAGCCAGGGTTGCGCGTTCCTCCCCGTAGCGCCGTCTTTCCTGCACGGTATGTTGATCCCGCTCGTCATGGGGCTGAATTCGGCGAATAGCGGCGCCGCGCGTTCGAGGCGCCCGGCGCGCTCAAAAGCAGGGGAACGTACGGCGGGGGGCGTGCAACGTCTACTTTCCTGCACGGCACTTGATCCGGCTCCTCACGTGATCGGATCTCGGCGAATAGCAGCGCGGCGGCACGTGGAAAACAGACGCGCAACTCTGGCTCCCGTAGGGAGCCTATACAGGAACCCTAGGAGTAGCCGTACTACGAGAGCTCTGTTTCCCCTCAATTCCAAGCGCAGCCAACGATGCGCTTTCACCAATCGAGCGGTGGCAAAAGTACAGCACTCGCCGTTTTTCCCCGTTCGTTATTACCGCCAATCACGCGCTATAAATGCGCCGCGATCCTGCTTTTTTTCTGCGTGATTGGTTTAGTCCGATCCACGATGTAAGATACACTCTTTAGGTGAGGACACGGCGGGGCTGAACGCGCAGCGTGAGGAATCAGATAGTGTTCGTTCCACGGGCATCCGAAAGGCTGCATTATTCCGCGCCCACCGTGCCCGCGGCTGACAGTGTCGCCGGCGGCCAAACGGCGAAACAGTGTGAAAGCGAAAAAAATCATCTCGTTGCCGTGACACCCCGGTACACCATGGTCTTTCTGCACGAGCGACAACCTTGCTGGAGCTCTGTGCGTGTGGAGCATGAGGCGGCACGAGCCGTCTTTGCCGTGCCCACGGGTCGACGAGTCATCTGCCGGCGCCGCTTGAAACCATAGTGAGAGAGAGAAAGAGAGAGAGTGAAAAGCGCACTTTATCTGCACTGCACGAGGAGCGCGCTGTCCTCACCTGAAGAGTATTATCTTACACCGTGGTCCGATCAGGCAGTTTGATTACGCCACCGCTGCCGAAATGCATCGAGGTGGTCTTTCTGCACGTGCAATAACCTCGCTGGAGTGTACAGCACGAAACGACACGAGCCCTTTCGCGCAATGTCGTCGAAAGTTTTGGGGGCGCCACGCATGCACTGAACGCTCGGTGAGATCCGTCTGTTCGGTGCTGCCAAATACATACTGCCGATGGTCTTTCACAATGGCGCTCATGTGACACCGTGCGGTCAAAAACTTCCCAAATAAAGAAAAAAGGACTAGACGGGAGCATGCTTCTACTCGCGGTGGGTCCACTCGATGTAAGGCTTCTTCGCATATTTTCAGAGGTTGCTTTCGCATGAGTCTGGTTTGTTCCGGAACACCGGAACAAACCAGACTCATCATTGCTTCGCGAAGCTGCCTCTCGCATCGCTTCCCAGCTTGTGTACGGCCAACACTTGTGACTTTGTCGTTGCTGTCGCTTCGGTCGCTCCGAACGCACATTGACACAAATCTCTGAACCAGCGTTCACCTGCACCCGTTTACACCGGTGCAGAAAGCTGTAGCGCGGTAAAATGCACTTCCGCTTGTGTTTGGAGTTTGGCTGCATTCGTAGGTTGAATACGGCGGTGTGCACAGAATGCAGCTGCTGCAACAGGTGCAGGGAAATAGAACGCAACAAATCTATAACAACAATTCGATGCCACTTTTCGCGGTGTTCTTGCGATGGCGTGTTCGAACAAAACGAACATACAACAAACCTTGGTCACATACGTGTGAAATGCATCCCGTTAGCATTCTTTCCTGAAACTAAGCTTCACGAACCGGCTACAAAATGGCGTTTTAGTGAAGAAGCGGTTTTGTTGAACATTACTTAGGTCGCCAAAAAGTTGATCTTAAAATGATGGCGAGCAGTGATGGTAGTTTGTGCGCCTAGCAGTAAGGCCAAGGTTTTGACAGGTATACATTTTATTTGCGCAGGCGACTCTTTGGCACTGTCAATGAGTCCATTGCTAGGAGTTCTCATCGGAGCGATCGCAGCCTTGGTTCTGGTCGCCGTCATCATCGCCATCATCATGCGAATGCGGGTGCATGACACGGACACTGGTAAGTGCTTCGAGCCCTTCCGAAAGCGCCGGACGAAACGTTTGGTTTGTCCGATTTCGATTCACCCCAACACGGGACTCGGAATGTCATTTACCTCTTCCTATTTACGTTAGTGCTTTGCAGATCTCAAATCTTGTTTTGTATCGGACAGTAAAATATAAAACTTCGGCGCTATTCAAAAACAAAACACGCCATGAATTCGCACCATGTTTTTTATGCGTGCGGCAACACCCCAGAGTGGAAACCGCCGGTGTGTTATTTCCGCTATGAGCGACGTGCGCGATTGGCAAAACGCTCGCGGTGACGTATTTATCTGGATGAATTCCTCTTTCATTGACCGAAATCAGCGCTTTGTCGGGGCGTCGGTTTCCGAGTGTAATTACTCCAAGCTTCCGTCGTTATTTTGGCATATACCGCCCAACGTGTTGTTCGCATCTGACGATAAGTTGTCAAAAGTAGTGCCACTAAATACGCTATGCTTCGGAGTAACGACACTTGGCCACATTTTGACTTAAAATCAAGGTTGCCAGTTATCTGAAGCTTTATCTGAAATCACAAGAAATTCTTTTCCGTCCTCCCCAAATGTTTTAACAGTTTGTGGCAAAGCGAAGCGATATTACATGAGCTTCCTAGCACCGAATCTAAGACTGAGGAAGTCGCACTTCTGAATTCTGACGATCGGTTGTTGCGTCTGCTCTGCTCAAGCACCAAGATGGCGGCGCCCACAACAATTTCGGGAAACGGAGTGCCAATACTCTAAGCGCAGCTCATTTAGTGGCTCTAGTCAAAAGATTACAACTCGTGATGTTACGGTGAGGAAAAATCTGGTTTTGACATCACGAAAAGGCTGTTCGTAGTTGCTCGAAGATGACACTTTTTTAGAGCCCTCCGTGATTCTTTTGTCCGTCCACTTTCAGATTCCGGAGAGCCAGACACAACCGAAAAGTGAGTGCCAGCTTCGTCTCACTCGAGTTTCTCTCTTGTTGGGGCCAGTGTGTCCCTGTCAAAACAGCTGTGATTTTGAGTGTTCTTGTCTCGTTGCGCTCCCAGACGGGAGTGTGGCTCTACGTGTCGCGTCGATATGGGATCTCTGTGAGGAAGTAACAAAAAATATTGAGGTTCAGTTTCGTCTTCCTGGGAACTGGGATGACCGTTCCGTCCCACGTAAGGTTGCCTCGTCAGAACTACTATCCTCGCTGACAGCTTAAAGGGTAGTTGAGTGTCCTTAAAGCTATCGTTTAAGGAGCTTTAAGGAGAAACGCTGGCGTCGGCGGAATGGGATGAGAAAGTCCTGATTGGTCAATAGGGTCCTGATGTCGCAGTCAAGTGACCTCGCGCGGGAATTTCAAACAACCCACAATGCTCACGTGAAACGTGCCGTCACACGTGGAAAGAAAGCGACTGAAAACGTGACATGTAATACGAATTAAAGATAGCCGCAGGTCTCAAATGATTTCATACTAATAAAATTATTCATTCGCCTTGGAGGAAGAAATTCGAAGAATTCTAGGCGGAGGCGGATTCGGACCCACGACCCTTCGGTCGCGAACCAGGCACGCTACCGACTAAACCACACAGACACTTTTTTTTTTTTTTTTTGGCAGTTTGGACATCTAGAAAATTAAACGATCACACGTGAATTTCCTTCGCTGAGATCACCAATGCGCGATCGTAAAATTTAAAATTCTTTCAAGGTCTCAAGTTCGTTGAGAATGGACACCTGATCAGGCGCACGTTCTAAAGTGGCGTATACAGATTTTCGTCTGCAGACAGATGATCTGAAATACGGGTCGGGCGTCTCCATCGGCACGCCTCACAGCCATTCTACTTCTCCATATGGCATGCAGGCCCAGGAGCGTGACTAAACCGACAGGGATTTCACCTTGTCTCTCAATAGGAAGAAACCTAGAGCCTTATGGGGGTTAAAGGCGAGTCTATTTTAAGACTCCGCTCGAGGGCGTCCCAGAAAAAGAAAGCGCCCCAGCAGTCGAGAAAATTATGTTCGACAGTTTCAGGGTTGGTTGCTCGGCTTGGGAACCAGCGGGAATTTGCATTTAGCTATCTTGTTCAACTCTTAAAGGCGAAGCTTAAGCGTCCTCCTGTAATTCTCTTCGTGGTACTCCATTTGGCTCAAAATTTACCAAACAAACCCAACTAACATTGTTAAACTAAAAAAAATATTAGGCAAAAATATTTTTCCCCGAATTTCTCGAATTTATCATTTCGATCCTCACGGTTTATTTTAAACAGAACGTTCCTACTGGCCAGAATGAAAAATGGACGCCAGCGGCAGGCGGGAGTTTCCACTTTGGGCAGTAGAATCGCTTCCCGACCGATTCGAAGAAGTTTGATAGTGTCGACGCTTTAGAAGCTAGAACTAAAAGATGCGCGAAGCGGCACTCCTTTCAAAAGTAAAAATCATGTAGTGGTAGTCTCAAAAGCTCATTTTGGCGACGTGCGCTATCGAAAGCGTCGCTGTGATCGGCCTTCCACGATTGGCCCAGTGGTGACTATGACGTCAGCAAAGGAGCTTTCATCGACGGAAATAAGAGGAATGTAAGAACTTCAGTTTTGAGGCTGTTGGTAGCGTTGGTTTCAGAGCGCAATGATTTCAAGCTTCCACCATGCTTATTACAAACACCATCGAACTTGCTGTTCGCAAGGTAATGACGTCACGAGAGAGAAGCATTGGAGGGCGCCACCAAAAGATCTCGTCGCTAATATTGCCGCACTGATGGCGATGACAGGAAACCGAAATTAGCTAAATGAAGCGCCATGGACTTGGTGAATCCAAGGCGACGTGCAAAACTTTATGCTTTTGAAGACGTTCGCTTTTCCTGGTGTGCGGAGGTTGCGTTATGGCGTCCTTAGAGCGTCCAATTGGGCTGTGTACAGAGTGGGTAGGCTACTCTGTTTTCTGGGTGCTCGACTTGCAAGCCTGCCCGGCCACTCACTTCACGGCACCGAAATTGCGCGGCTAGATTAAAATATTCTTTCGAGCATCAGTTTTATTATTAAAATTCGCAATAACTATTCCGAATTTTACGATACTAAGTAGTGTCCCAGAAAGAATAAAAAGCCGAGGATTATAAAAATATACAAAGTGTCCTCCAAAAAAATTTACAGGTTTTTTTTTTTTTTTTTTTTTTTTGCAAATATAAATTAGGCGTCGCCGAACGTTTGTTCTCCGCCCAAAGGTAGCGCTAGAGGTCCGAACCGATGCCAAAGTTTCAGCACAAAGCGTTATGTTATTCGAAAGTTATAAAAAAAAGAAAACATTTCAAAATGTTCGATGGAAAAATGGGGCCCATTTTCTCCCTTTTTCAGTTTCCGGTACCATAGAGCTCCGTGTATTCGACAGCTCCGTCGGTCACCATTTTCCCATTGAAATTTTCAGAAAATCCCCTCTAACTTTCGAATGCATTATCGGTTCGTACTAAAAAGTTTCGCATCTGGTTGTGACCTCTAGCGCTACCTTCGGGCGGAGAATGAACGTTCGTCGGTGCGTAATTTATTTTTGCGGTGGAAAACAAAAAGTCCGCTCAATGCCTTCGGGGACACCCTGCAGTTAGTTGGGGTAGCTGAAAAAGATGACCGGAGTAGCGGCGAGGGCCATGCATCTTACCCGACAGCCAATGAGATTGCCGCATTAGCAGAAGAGAACGCTAAAGAACCAATCACCAAGTTAGAGCCGGACAGATGAGAAGACAGGCATCTTGTGCTCTCAGTTACCGCAAGATATGAACGACACCGGGTTGCCTTCGATCGTGACACGTCGTGCTTGAAAACAACTGTTAGCTGAAGCCATTTTCGTTTTTTCTTTTTTTTTTTAACTTTGTTCTTTTTTTTTATTGGGTATCGCCCAGGCGCCAAATGCCGAGTCACTGGGGCTCTGAACGCATGCACAGTACACATCTGATGTTCCAGGGGAAAGAGAGCTTGTTCAGGACGTGTCTCACAGATCAGGAGACAAAGATGGCACCGCGCAGGGGCTCGAAACTCGTCAAACCCACGAAGCGAAGTTCACGAAGCGCACCGATTGGACGATCCCGACGATGACGTGACGCTTTTCTTTCGCCGGCGTCCAATCGGTGCGCTACGCGAACTTTCGGCTCCAACTTTGTGATTGCCGAGTTTAGGGCCCCAGGAGGTCGATTTCAACCCCTGGCAACCGGGAATCTGCTGTTCATTGCGGCACAAAACCCGCAGAAGAGACTCCGCCCTACAAGAGCAAAGCTCCGCCTACATAAAAGATGGCTGGCTGCAGGGGCGTACCCATTCGGGGGGGGGGGGGACGCTTGCCCCCTCCCCCCCGTAGTTTTCAGAGGGGGGGGGGGGGGGGGCAAGGCATGTGCTCTGCCCCCCCCCCCCCTGAAACAGCCGCCACTGGGCAGGGCAAACACTGGCCAGCGGCGCCCCAAAATTACCAAGGGCACCGCCCCCCAGCCCTGGGGGGGGGGGGGGGGGTATCTGGTTTGCCCCCCCCCCCTTACCCTCAAAAGTAAGTTGGCATGCCACTGGCTGGCTGGTGTGCCAATGTTTCCGTTCTGGTAGCCTGGGCTCATTGGCGGGTGCTCCCCGTCAACCTGACGATTCCAGGGAGTCATAATGTTAGACGGCAACTTGAGAAAAAAGTGGCGAGTCCGGGACTTCCCATTATCGCTCCTTAGCGAAGAACATTGCGGCGTCAGCCAATAGAAAGGCCAGACGACGGGTCACGAAGCAAGAACGGGGATCAGAATATGCGTTTCTTAACCAGCGAGTGTATGTGCTTACAGAATCGCATATTTCCCGGCATTCCGAGACGCCAAGAAAATGCTGTCATTTATCGTTGAGTACCGTATTTATTCGAAAACAGGTCGAGCTTTTTTATGAACGGACCCGCCCGTCTAGTTAACGCAGCAGCTTGGGCGAGTTGGTTGCTCAATTAACACACAGTACAGGGCACTACTGCAAAAGTACACTCACCCCGAGCGAGCTCCGCGCGTCTACTTCCCGCCGAACCCATTTTTGGTGAGTCATTAAGACTTACCAAAAAAGCCGGCGAAAAGCGAAACGGACATTGCGTTTTGAAATTAAAAAAAAAAAAAAATGCGATTCACACAAAACTAATTTCTGTGTTCCGTCGGGGCCTCGTCATTCCCTGGGCCTCTTCTGCAAATCGCCATGATTGGCGCTTCTTGGGCGTTGCATAGAAATCCACGCTCTGGCATTGTTCATACAGAAGTCGACCTATTTTCGATTATACAGGATATAGCTTTCTTTTATCATTTTTTTTTTTTTACTTCGGGAATTAGAGAGCCCGGTTTATCTCGCCTATTTTATGTTGGCTTACCACCCGGGCTTACCACCCGGGCGAAAATTGCCGAGTCGATGAAACGTGGGCGTTCGCTAAAACGTCATTCGATCAAGTGAGTGCCTCCCATCTAAGCATGGAGAAAATGCACGCCGTAATAAACGTGTAAACACAAAGACCCCCCCACGCCTGCCAAGCGTTAAGCCATAGCACAGTTCATGCTTAGGAAGCGTGAATTCTATGCGTTGAAAGACACCACGCTTAGAACAAGCCTGCAAAAAATCACTTTGCGTCACGCCTGCCAAGCGTTAAACCATAGCGCAGTTCACGCTCAGGGAGCGTGAATAGACCGATCTCACTAAGCGTTCGGCGCATGCGTGACGCCGCCATAACTTTAGTTCACAGGAGGCAGACGGTCGTGCATGCGAGGCAAGGAGGTTAGAAGTACTAGGAGGGGGCACGTTGCAATATTGGTGAAGCCTACTCATAAAAAGTTTAAACTATTTTGTGCCCAGCGTGACCGCAGATATCTCTGGCGATTGGTGCGCGTGACATGTCACGTGTGAGATGGATGGTTGATTGTAGAAGGACTCCTTGCAGGCTTGCGCGCGCTCCGTCCGGTAGGTTTTATCAGATCGAAGGCTACACTGTGGTGTATTCTAGTAGCCTACAGTAAGACGAAGGCTAGCTACGGTCACGTGATGTGGTCACGTTGGCATGGTGAGTGAGGAGAGTAAGGAGGGAAATGAGAAAGAGGCGAGGCGTCAAGGGAGCATGGCTTGTGGAGGCTACGCGGCCGACGTCATGCCCTCTCCTACCCTTCTATTCTCCATGATGCGAGGGCTCGTGCCTTCTCGTGCTCTACACGCGCAGAGCTCCCGCGAGGTTATCGCACGTGCAAAAAGACTAAAGTTCCCTCGATGCATTGCGGCAACGGTGGCGTACTCAAACTGACTGGTGAGAGCGGTCTATTGCGCGCGTATACGCTAAGAGTCTTTGAGCTCCTCCTAGGAGGATTCGCGAAGAGAACTAAAGCCAAGACGAGCACAGTAAAAAATGCCGGCTTCCAGGACCATGGCTGCGGTCGCTTTGGCGGCGTCATGAGGGCGACATCGGCGGCATCCTCGCGACTGCGATTTTCAACACGGGACGACATTACACTCGGTTTGGATGACCCAGTAAGATGGGCAACGATCCCCGGCAACTTGATGCTGGCGACGCGCGAAACTTTCTCGGTGAAGGTACGGTGTGCCAAGTTGCTTACACGAGACACCTCTTGGCGAGGCGACGCAACCGGACACGACCGGTCAACCGCTCGCGTCGCATTCTCACGTTGAAACAATCCTAAAATGTTATTCTGGACAAAGAAAACTTTTTTTTTTCTCAAGTTGCAGCATTTCGTGTGTGAAATAAAAATTGCGGCTGTATCTTGGTGGCGTTGCAAGCGCGAGACGTGTGGGCTTTTGCGTCGCGGCGGAGAAACGCTAATCTGAAACGCTTTGGCGTAGCGTGCCTTAACGCAAGCGCTAAATTTAGCGCTAGCGTGCGCTAAAATTGCGTACGTTACTCTAAAACTCCCTCTTTTGCGATCAACGGCACGTTTAAACGAACGATCGAAAAAAAAATTAATCTGATTCTTTTTTTCGTGCTTTACGAACGTCAGATGTTTATTTTAAACTAATGTTGTTCATACATAAAAGGCGAAAAATAGATTAGAAAGAAAAGAATTTTTTTTTTTTATCTCACAATAATTATGTGGTTGCGTTCATGAACGAAGAGGGGACAACTCGGGGAGCACCATCGTGGTACAAGTTATGGCACTTGCCATAGCTTGAGAGTTTCTCTTTTTGTTATGTTTTATTAATACATTACGTTTCTACAAATTTGTTAACGCCGCCTCCTAATTTGTATCACCCTGATTTTAAGCTTTTTAAAATTGCGAAGCTGTTGAGACCGTCTTTAGGTATCTGCGTTGTCGTTTTTTGCGAGCCTTGTCGGTATTGTGTATTTAAACTATTATTATCTTACTTCTTTCTATTTCAAAAAATATTAAAGACGTAATGTATTGTCCGAGAAATTTGCGAGGTGAACGCCGTTATCCAGATTGCTTTTCATATCGCTTCGAATCTTCGTGCGACTAGCCGAGGTTTTATTCTGTCCGGAATTTCGTACCTTTAAAGTCTCCTATCGGCGGAAGAACTGTTCAGCCATTAACCTAAACACTCTTCGTATGCATGTTCCGTTTTACTTAATGCGTCTATTCTAAGGCGTCCGCAGTGGCACCAGAGTCCTCGACGTCTCCGAGCTATCCTCGTTGCGGTCTAAGGCGAGCAAACCATACTCACCCTTGGGCGAGAGGCGCTGTATAAATGAGGCACTTATGATGAGGCTCCGAGTTATTTATGGTGCTTTTTACTCCCGAGCGAGAGCCCCGCTTTTGCGATTGAACCTTGGAAGGGCCGTGAGTGGATCGATTCTTGCGCATTGCAGATCGCAGACGCTGTTGCGTAAGGGTGTCGAAGACCGAGCCGAGGGCGACATCAAAGACCCGGACATCATACCACCCAAGGGAGACTTGGAAGGTTAGTGCCACAGCACGCGCCTGTCCCGCACGACGACACGATCCTTCTGTGTGACGGAGGGCTCGGAAGTTCGTGTCATCACGTACTTTGTTGTTGAACTAAGATTACACTTCGTCCGATACAAGGGCACCGAAGCACTAGCCTAAGGCCGGGGCCCCACTGCTCATCCATCGCACAAAAGACCGTCTGCGAACACGAGCCAGCGCAATATCCGTGGTTCGAATGCCGCGTGCCAAGTTTTCTCCTACAACTCATTGTTATGCGGCACTCGAAACACGGATCTCGCGGGAAGTCGCGTTAGAATCTGTGTATGCAGACTGTCTTCTTTTGTAGGGGGATAAGCAGTGTGACTTTAGAGCGGAGCTTCTCCGGCGGGTTCTACCTTGCTGTCGCGTGACAACTGCGAGCAACGCTGGACGCAGCTGAGTTTTCGAATGGCGCCAAGCCTTTCCTCTAAAATGATGTAGTAATTTTTAGAATATGGTCTAGGGGTTTGATTTTGGTCAAGGTGAGATTGAGCGCGTTCTCGGCTGCTGATGGCATGCGGCACAGCATGCTGCTGGCATGCGGCACAGCATGCTGCTGGGCAGACATGCTCGACCAATGGGAAGTGTTTCACCCGGTCCGCGATCGGGCAGTATTTTGCTGAGAACATCTCACCAACACGGAAATGATGAGAGACGTCTCGCAGTCTCTGATATGCTTTTCCATAGTATACTTCTTCGTCCACAAGTTAAAGTGAGCTTATTTGCGGTAGCAAAACAACTTGCGATCTGCAAATAAAAGCGCGGGTTGTCAATGGCTGCCAACTTAAAATGGTATCTTGGTATGCGAACGCAAAAGGTGACGAGGGACACAAAAACACGTCAGACACGGGCCAAGATGTTTAAGCCACACGCTCTCCTAATTCTATCTATGTTAAAATAGTAGACTATATCAGGCCGCATCCGATCTCACTAGGCCGCGGCACTCCCTTCGTAGCAGACGAATCAATTCTTTCTCGGTTTGTTAGCGAAGAACTGACGGCGTTTTTTGTTTTGTTTTTTCAGTTGATTTTCGTGTTCGAGTGTCGCTGCGTAGCATACAAACCGCATTCTTTGCTCGCTTTAGCAGACGAGCCGTACACGGGCGCTGTGTTGGCTCGCTCCGTGGGAGGGAAAGAAAATCTCGCTCTCCTTTACCCCAGGTAAAGGCTGCTTCGCCCTAAAGTCACTGGATCCTGCGAAAGTAGCGCCATTGCCTTCCCTACCTGCTAGCCGCACACAAACAAATAGCAACATACAGACGACGAAACCTCTTTTCTTTGTTGTTATTGTTGTTTTTTTTTTGGCGGTCGGTTAGGGATAATTGTCAAAAGCGATGCGTTTTTTTGTTGTTGTTTTTAGAGCGCAGCTCTTAGACGCCCGTTTCCAGCTTAAGCGGCGTCGGCGTTGCCGTCGGCGTAACCGCACGGTGCATTATGGGAAATATCCCATAATTCAACGCGCGAGACTCGTGACGTCACGTGTGACGTCACAAGGGTCCCGCGCAATGCATGATGTGACATTTCCCATGATGCAACGCGCGGTTAGGAGGACGGGAAAAGGACGAGGGGGAGGGGAGGGGGAGGAGAAGGGGAGGCGGGGAAAGAGGGGAGGATGATGGATGAGGAGGGGAAGAGGATGGAGGAGGGACGTGGAGGGAAAAGGAGGAGGGGAGGGTTGGTGGTTGAAGGATGAGGGGAAAAGGAAGAGGAGGGCGGAGGAGTAGCAGGAGGATGAGGAGGTGAAGAGGACGGCAGAGGGCTATCCTCTCCAAGAGCTGCGCTCTCATTCGGCGTTACAGGCTGTTGTAAACGTCTTTCATTTTTTTCATCTACGAATAGAGAGCGTCGAATGTACGCATAGTGGGATTTTGTGTTTGACTGGTTCAGTTATTTTAGGAAACCAACTTGCTCTCACGAATGCTCGAGTAACACATTCTGCGGCAGTGCAGTTCAAAGTGTGTATGTGTGCAACTCATCTAAAGGAGCTGTCTTGCTTCTAGCAAGCCGAATCAGCCCCCCCTCGTTAAATATGTTTTTTCTAAAAGGTTTTTCTAACCACTTTAAAAATTAAAAGACGATCTCATCGCTTATTAACGGCTTTGACTGATGTTTTACGTGATGAAAATTGAAATTCGTAGAAGTCAAGCATTTAGGAACCAAACCTAAATTCACACAAAGATGTGCACGTAACATACACCTTCGACTTGCGAAGTTACATTCCCGCGAGATGCTAAGCTTTTCTTTCCCTTCCGCCGCTAGACGGCACTTGCTTTTGAGAAGCGGCTATTTTAAATAGCGTAAGACAACTTCGAGTGTTCCTTCGAGAAAAAAAAAAACGGTGAAGGAAAGCGTCGGTCATTGTTTTGTACCGAACCATACGTGTCATTTTCAGCACGTGCAGTAGTAACCATTTCCCCAATAACATGGTGGCCTTCAGCCGCGCGAGCAAACCAGTGTCCCGTATGCCCTCGGATTCGTTTCCAGGCATCGGGATGAGTCATTATAGAGTTTTAGAATAAGGGGCCTCAACGCATTGGGTCCCCATGGAGGTAGGAAGCTTCTGGAGGCGACATGACGCAAGCAGAGGAGAAGCCGGGGGAGACTTCCGGTTTGGAGGGCACGTCCTAAACGATGACCAAACCCAAAGACGGTCCTCTTCTTCCTGCCTCCATGGGGTCCCCCAAGCAGCTTGGAGCTTCACACTGTGCCTGCATAGAACTTCAGCGCTTGCGCAGAACGACGCCCCAAGCCGCTGGGGGGAGTCAAAGCGTCGGGGCTCTCTATTCTAAACTCTCTATTGACACTTTCCATCCTTTTGTTTGGTTCCGTTTCCAGATCCCGAATGGGTTTTTCGACAACTGAACGGTTCCAACGGCAGGATTTCCAGGGATGTCGGCGTTACAAAGGGCGCCATGATGTACGGAACACTACCGAACGTCAAGATACAAAGGCATCCGCAGGTATTCTTCTTTAGGCATTGCAAATTTAATCGATCAACACTACAGTGCATCGCTACACAGGTGCATACTTCTCACCGAATGCGGACAGGCGCGCCTAACCGGAAAGTTCGCATACCGCATCACGTTGCAATCAAAACACGAATTATTGTTGTTCCAATTTAATTATCTTATCCAACGAGAAAAGCGATCGATACCATGCTCCAATGAATGGTGTATCTTCAATAGCAAAAGTACGTCTTCGCCGTTTTTAATTGCTACCGATATAGCATGACGATTGAGGACAGCACCGCTCCTCTATTTTCTTGGATAAATGTGTTAAAACAAAAACCAATCACTGGTGTTCAGAGGGCATTTCGGAACAGCATGCTATATGTGCAGGAATTTTCGAGAGTGTACATGAGCACATGAGCATCTTGGTTCGAACCGCCCGAACTGCTCGCTGGAGCTCCCGTTTCTCCCGATTGTCTTCAATTTCAAACTCTCTTTGACATGTAAACATTAGCGAATACAAGCTGCTATTTTTTTCGTTGCCTTCTCCTTAAAAACTCGTCCTTTTTGGGCAGTATAGATAGTGTGATCAGAAATTTGTTACGGGGTGAGTGTCTGGAATGGGATGGATGGGACCTGCATACTTCGGGAAGCGAGGGCCCCACATGCCTTTGGGTAACATGTGCTCGGTTGTTGGCGCAGTTCAGCGACGACATGATGTACCGGGAGCGGTATCTTCTGGGCCAGGAGTACGGTGGCGTCGTGGAGCGGCACCGCGCCACGGGCTTCCGGCCGCAGGGGTCCCTGCCGGACCCGGACGAAGTGGACCGCATGATCTCTTCCAACACGCCGCTCGTCAGCGGGACGCAGCTGCGGCCCCAGGTGCGGTCAAACGCTCTCGGTTTTCGACAAAATCGGCTGATTTCTATGAGAAAACCATCATGAAGACCCGTCACCAAGTCCCGTAATGATGACCCCTTACCATTCCCGTCACGAAGGGCTGTGGCATCACGTGACGCAATGACGCCATTATGATGTTACTTTGACGCCGTTGCGTAACGTAACGTCATCAAGACGTTATTGTAACCTCATGCTGACGTCATAGTGACATCACCTTCACGCCTTGAGGTCACATAACACCATGACGTCGTGTGATGCCAAAGTCATGTGAACTCATGACGTCGCGTGACGTCCCACACATATAGCATGTGTCCAACTCATTTACAACACATCCTGTGCCCACTCGTTGTTGGTAGCATAATGAAGCTAGCGTCCCTTCCCTCCCCCCCCCCCCTTCCCCCAATTGAGGAAGAACGGACAGCGTAGCCTAGGTGGAGCTCCCTATCTTGCAGCTCCTTGAGTAAGACAGAAAGATTGGAGAAGGGAAAACAAATAAAAATAAAAATAAACAAATCAATGTATGTCAGAACAAATCAATCAGTACACGCACAGAAATCACATACACGCACGTACACGTGCTATGATTTATAAAGAAACTTCGTGTCTTCAAGAAACCATTGTAGGTGTAGCTTGAAGCAGGCGCCAGGACTTATTCAATACAAAGACGACGCCCACTAAAATCACACGTGGTCTCCTATTATAATCTTGTATCGACGCTACAAATGCCAGGTAACAGCCCGGCGTTCGTAACACCATGCAAAATAATTTAAGGCAACGTTGCCATATTTATGGACCAAGAAATTTTTTAGATCAAAGGGACTTGGGACCAGCCTCCTAGATGTAGTTTTTTTATAAATAGTTTACTGAGGTTCTTGAAAAATGCTCCGAACATCCGTTTTGTGCAAACACGAAAACCATTTCACATATACGGTGTGACCGGCACGAACTAACATAATTCTTGTGATGTGCGACATCAACGGTGCTTCGATAAGAACTCGAGAGTTTTACAGCCTCTCCTTAAATCCCTGTTTTTATTATTATTATTAGTATTAGTATTAGTATTATTGTCGTTGTTGTTGACGATGCCCATGTAGGACGTGCGTTCACAGCAATAATAATAATAATAAAAAAAAACATTGCGACACAAAAAGGTGTCGATGCACCGGCCACGCATTTGAACTTGAGCCAGATGCCCAATCTCGAGCCCGAGATCAACAAGAAAGAAACAAAAAAAGGATCGTACCACAAAATGGCTCGATGTCACCACCCTAGAATAGACGTGCACAGACGGAACACTATAGGGGGTGTCCGAAGGAGCGCCCAGGCTCTTTAAATCGACCGTGAAATTCGATTTTGTAACCTATCGTGCTACGATTTTGTGCAACGTTGCCCACAGACGGTGCATTCTTTTTTTTTTTTTTTTTTTTTTGTAAAATTTGCAGAGTAATGCTATCTGCGGAAAAAGTAAAAAAAAGAGAAGGGCTCAACTCCTATGGAAACGCAGCGAAGCCACTGGTCTTCAAACCGCATAGGGCGCCCTATTGTTTGAAGACCGGTGTTTTTTGACGAATTGGAACTTACAATGAAGAAACATGCGGATTAATCGCTTTATAAGTGGAATTCGCCGTCGCCGGCAAATGAGAAGAAAGATTTTTTTAAAAGTGCCACGCCTCTTTTTGATTCCTTTTGTTGGTGCTCTTTAATTTTGTTTTTTATGGCCCTTTGGATATTTACGTTTCGCCGCCCCTGCTCTAGGCTTTTGAAGATCTTCTTATTCCACATCCTTGCCGCCATCTCGGAATGTTTGACAAGGTGGTGAGTAGGGTGAGTTGGTTGATCATCTTCAAAAGTGGAAACAGCGCAAACAAAATTAATTAATTAACAAAGGAAGAGTAAAAAAAGTGTACGGACACAGTGCTGACTATCAACTGAAAGTTTAATTTTCGAGCGAACCAGAAAATAAACACCGGAAGCATAAAGGAAAGAACTAAACAAGACACAAAAATACAACCCGATAACCAAGACTTCTGCTACATCATATCTCTTTCACACGAGCTTGCCACTGTTCTACATAAAAAGGACTTCGCCATACACCAAGTGCACCGGCGGTGCGCTAACACATTCCCCTTCCGATTTTGATAAAATAAAAAAGTCTTCTTGAATCTCTCTCGCGGTCTTATTTTTTGTGTCTTGTTTGGTTCTTTCCTCTCTGCTTCCGTGTTTATTTTCTCCTTAGCTTGAAAATTAAACTTTCAGTTGATAGCGCAAGAAGAACAATAGAACAAGAAGAGCCCATGCTCTTCTTGTTCTTTGTTTGTTTGTTTGTTTTGCGCTGTTTCCGCTTTTGAAGATGATCAACCAACTCGCCTAACTTACCGCCTTGTTAAACATCATTTCATGTACGTACATCGGGCCCTTTTTTCTGTGCTTCAATCATAACCCATCAAGCCCTTTTCCTTTAATAAACGCCATCGTTTCCGCAACCTGCAAAGCTCCGGTTAAGCTGCCAGAAAAGGTACGTTCCCTCCGGAGGCTGTCGGCCTTATCAGCATGGTGAACCAATCCACCGGACATGCCAAACGCGTGTGCAAGATACTTCTTTAGGAGTAGTGGAGACAAGTCAGACCACTACATTAAGGTTTAAGATTCTGGTGCTTTCGAACCTCTGTGGATGCGGGTGCGGCAGAAAGGAAGTTTCGTGCATGCAAGCGAGAGATGGCGCGGGTCACCGAGTCTCTGTGGGAGCGGCAAAGCGCCTTCTTGCCTAACAAGCTTCAAGGTCAGCCGGGAGTCAAGGGCAACGTGGTGTTTCTGGGAGGTGCCACCGTTCCGGCAGTCGTAATGAACATTCTGGAGAAGAGTCCTAAGTTCGCCATGGAACCGTCGGTCAGGCCTTCGGATATGTTGACCCTGGTGCGGCAGGTATCTGCGAAGACGCCAGACGACAACAGGAACCGGTGCGTTCATGATTGTGTGGAAGGGTTGATTCAGAGGGAAGGCCCAAGGCCTTTCCATAGGATGACGCTGGGACCCATGGTTCAGTTGTTTAATGAGTCAAAGTTGAGGCTGTTGCAGTCGGACAAAAAAGGAGGTTTTGTCGTGGTGTCTGATGGCTTGTTCCAGGAAAGAGCGAGACGGGCTGTGCTGAAAATTTTCAAAAGTGTACCGGGGGTGGAACTGAAGAAGGTTAAGGGGCGGGCCGTGAGGCTTTGTAGCCAGCTTGTGTTGGACAACCTTAAGAACTCTGTGTCGGGCACCAATGGCCTCAACCTCGAGGTCTTCTTCTCACTAAATACCCATAAGGAGCTAAGACCGTTCAGAGCGATTCTTACCCAGAAAGACTTTTGGTAGCTCTATAAATCGTCTTTTCTTCAGCGACACTCGTCACTGCTTAAGTTGGACGACCCTTTCCTTATTTGCAATTCTGAGGCCCTTGTGGATTTCCTCCAAAAAGACAATCCGGGAGGTTGTGAGTTAGTGTTCTTCGATGTTCAGGAGATGTTTTATTCGGTCCCTCATGGTGAATTGATGCTAGCTGTGGGAGAGTGCATAGAAGCAAGTGGTTCAGTGCCATTCATAAACTCAACGGGAGTTGCGGTAGATTCCTTTTTTGAATTCTTGAGTTTTTACTTGAGCTCCACCTATGTCACATTTGAAAGTGAAATTTTTTCTGCAAAAGAGTGGGATTTGTGTTGGGTCGAGTGTGGCACCGATCCTTAGTGATATATATCTTGCGAGGTGTGACAAGTCTGTAGCAGGGTCTTTGGACTGTCGGGTTTTGAGAGTGTTTCGGTATGGACGACAGCCTAATGACAACCAGAGCACTAGCCATCAAGGCGTGTGTCTAGATTTTTTGGCCTGCTTTAAGGAGTGCAGGCGAGCGCCATTTTGTTTTGTCCCTTCTATTTTATTTCGCCGAGCGCATTCCAAGTGAGCACCATTGTGTTTTGCCCTTTTCTTTTATTTCGCTGGGCGCAAGGTTGTGTTCTCGGGAGGTTGTGTTTATTAGCGGCGAGGTATTTTGGTGGCGCCCTCATATGGTTCCCCCTTGTTTCGTCATTACCTTGCAAACAACAAGTTCGATGGTGTTTGTAAATAGCATGGTGGAAGCTTGAAATCACTGAGCTCTTAAAGCAACACTGCCAACACCGTCAAAATTAAATTTCTTTCATTCCTCTTATTTCCGTCGATGATAAATCCCCTTTCCTACGTCATAGTCAGCGTTCGGCCAATCGTGGAAGGCCACAGCGACGCTTTCGGTCGTGCACGGGGCTAATTCTAACTCCTCAGCATCAAGGGACTGGCACGTGGACTCCCGCGCCATGATGGCGCGACTGGCTAGCGTCAGGCAGGATGCGGCATCGGGTAACAGCCATGGGCGAGCCCAAGCTGCGCAAGGGAACTATGCGCCAGTCTAACAGCGGGACTCGGAGTGAGAGTGCTTGTACGATGGTGGTACGCGACCACCAATAGTGTCCGTCTTGTAACCTAAAATTGTATCGAGAATATTAAAACCAGTGTTCCTTTAATTACCAAAATCCCATTCGTCAAGACCTCGTTTATTTTCAAGAATATATTTTATTTGAGACAAATCATCGATAACAGGAGTGATCCTCGGGTTATCCTTTAAGTTCGAGACACCCGCAGGAGAAACATTGCAGTTTTTGGACCTGATGCTTTATCATCAGCCGTCATATACTTGTAGGTCATATGAGCCACGTTCAAAGAAGAGGGTTATGCAATACGACTCAGCACGCTCTGAACCTGTGAAGCGGCCGATTACTACGTCGTGCATGCGGGCTTCTGTGTTGAGGTCTTGCCATCATAGGTGTGAGGACAGTCTATCGTTACAGGTGTCTAGGCTGACATCGGCAGGATACCCTATGACGTTGACTGTGGGTGTAGCAGAGTCCATGATAAAGGTGTTCACAACCCAGTCCTATGGTTAAAAAAAAGCCGACAGTCAGTCCGGTGGTGGTGCCTTATGTCCACGCCATCTCCCATCAAATTAAGCGAGTGGCTTACAAGTAACGTGGCAGTGGTTTTTTCAGCACCCCAAAACTTGTCACGATTGTGCTGTGCTGTTAACTGAAGGAAGGCCAGTGATTTCAATTCTGGTGTTAACCACCGCAGTCCTTTTGTCCCATGCGCACTAGGGGTTGCGTACCAGATCCCCTTCACATGTGGTAGGGTAAACATTGGACAAACAGGGAGGTGCATAAACGTGAAGGCGAGGGAGCATTCCCTTGCTCTCCGTTCCTCACCCGCTGGCCACTTAGGGGTACATTGCAGTAGGTGCGGCTGCGTGCTTTTGTGCAATGACTTGACGATCCTGGCGCGTAACAAAAATAAGACCGCCAGAGAGATTGAAGATACCTTTTTTATCAAAAGGGGAAGGGGTTGTGTTAGCGCGCGGTCGGTGCGCTTGGTGGATGACGAAGTCCTTTTTATCAAGAACAGTGGCCAGCACGTGTGAAAGAGATGACGCTGTAGATGTCTTGGTTATCGGATTTTATTCTTGTGCCGTGTTTTTTTTTTTTTTTTTTCCTCTATGCTTCCAGTGTTTCTTTTGTGCTTCGCTCGAAAATTAAACTTTCAGAGAACAGTCTTTGTTGTTGTTGTTGTTGTTGTTGTTTTGCGCTGCTTTTTTTCTTTTTTTTTTTTTTTTTTTTGAAGAGTGTTTGACAGCTTCCTTGTGGCGACTCGCCTTGCAGAGGCGAGACACTCCGGAGCGGGAGCGGCGTACCATCTCGACCCCGGTCTGACAGGCGGGGGCCTCGCTCGGCCCGCAGCCGTTCGAGTCGGACTCGAGACTCGTAACGGCCGTGGCCGTGCAAAGGCCCGCTCCATCCCCTGTGATCTCGTATGGTCGGCGCCCCCCAGGGTGCGACGACGTCAGTGCCTTCTCCCATTGCCCGGACGGACGGCTCGCCCCGTCCCGCAGGGACAGTGCGTCTTCCACGGACTCCTACGCCTCCTGGACTGCAGGACAGGCCGTCGCGCAGCAGCCGCGCCGCTACGAGTCCCGGCAGGTCGGGGCCACGCTCCCTCGGGGCCGTCCGCTGCAGCGGCGGAGCTCCACGGGGGATGCGTACGAGACTCCGCGCTACGAGAACCTCGCCTTCCACCGCTCGCTCAAGGGAAACGCCGTGGCCACGGTCAGGCCACGTAACGGGAGGCGGTCGTACAGGGTGTCGGGAGGCCCCCAGCACGAGGACAGTGTCCACGAGGCCGGCGGCAACTAGACGCTGCGCCCGTACACCCGCACAGGGAATGGATGGTGACTGTGGGTGTGCCAACGCAGCCGCCGTTGTTCTCCGGCTCAACACTTTTTTTTTCTTCTTCGCGACGCTTAAAAGGTCGGGCGTGGCTTTCTTCCCGCTGCAGTTTCCAACTGCTATGTCTCTCCCGCCGCAAATGGCAACCCTGGGCGAGTTGTTGTCCCTAGCCAACAACACTTATCGAGTCGATGCGGGTAGCATCCTTGGGTGAAATTGAGAAGAAGGAAGTCTCGTCGACACCTTGCCATGGCAGCTCACATGAATTAGGCAACCCGAGATATCTTCGTCATTTCCCAGTGTTCCAAATGGCGTTCCTATAGTTAGTGTCCGGGAATGATGTCGTTATCTCGTTGCGCGGGACACGTCCGCAAATCCCAAATTCTACCGGATCCAATGAAGGGGCCCTAGGACCAAACAATGCACCGCTTGAGCTCTCGAAAACATGCGTTAGCCTTTCAAAACGTCGCGAACAAAAAGCGTTGACAAAGGGTGCGTGGCGTTGCTCAGATTGTACCTCGTCATGTTTCCTTTAACGAACGAAAGGAAACCAAGGGAGGAAGCGGTGATTGATGGCGCCAATTATCCGCGCTTGGAAACCGTGTGGGTTACGGTTCGAGCTCATATCGACATCGGCATTAGGAAGGACATCACTTTTTTATCATTTTATCGCGCCTTGTTGACCGAATTCACCTACGATAGCTCAATCCGCGACGCACCCGGTTCCCCTTTTTATCGGGTCGAAGGACACTATTACAGCAAAATTTATTTGAAACAAAAGTACTAAGTAAGACTCTTTCACTCATAGTTGCTGACTTTTTTTTTTCTCATAAAATGTTTTGTAAATACTTTTTGGAGGCACCCAAAGTATTTTATTTTTAAAGTTTTTACACTGTTCTCAACTTTGAGTTTAGCTAGACGTATACTTGACCTCAAAGTCTCTTTTTTCGTCTCACTTTTCGTTTATCCTGCTGAATTACAGGATAATTTGTCAGCAGAAATCGCTTCGTTCAGAATAAACATGCTCATAGCTGCAAGACCAATCACGAGTAGTTTTTCGATTGTCTCTAAAATCGAATTTATTTATTATAAGGCCTTGCGTTGCGAAACGTCGTGATGTCAAATCTAGGACGTCATTTCTTAACAGTAAGACATGTGTTTTTACAGAGTCGGTTGTAAAACCACGATGAAGCTGTTCAATGGTAGAATTCCGAAAGCCAGTGTAGCATCTCGTCAGAAACCGGGATAGAACATACAGGTGGTTTAAAACAAAACTATGTCCATAGTCTCACGCTCAACCTTAGCTTAAATTAATCCATCTATTTCAGTCTTTTTTTTTTTTTTTTCTTTTTTGTCAACAATATAAAGGAACTGATTTAATTACCGTCAAAGTTTGGATGGTTGGTATACATACATAATAACGACAAAAACAGCGCGAAGACGAGGACAAAGTAGAAGGTAACCGACAGGACACCGCGCTAACTCTCAACTGAAGCTAATTCATGTTGGCATCTAGTATAAATAGCGTACATATGTCTCCCAAATAGACCATGGAAAAAACACAAAATATGCATATTGCCACGAATGACAAATGATCAGGCGGCTAATAAGTGGAGAAACTAAACGTTTAATGGGGCGAACTTGCGCCCAAAACAAAATAGAAGAAGGTTAGTAAGCGCCGCAGGCTTCCATGTCGGCGAACCAGCAGGATCGAGCGCTGGAGCGAGAATGGCTTCGGACCGCCACGCCAAGAACCTTTCGTACCCGCGTTGGTTTCTGGAACATTCGTACTTCGATTAAGACCCTGTCACGCTGAGGCAACACGACGGCAACAGCAGCACAACACGTTGTCCAACAGTCGGTCAACTTGTTGCTCGCTCACCATGTTGTCCGACAAACCTGTCACATCGCGGCAACAGTACGACAACATGGACGACAACTAATATGTTGCCTCGGTATGACAGCTTTCGGCAACAAAAACAGCAGCAACTTCTGTTGGACAACGTGTGTTGCCCTGATCGCTGGCTGAGCGTATTTCGGGCCGGCAGCACGACAACATAGATAGCTTCGATGGTAGAGCTAGTCTCCTATCAATAACGTCTTACTCAAATAAAGGCTTGGAAAACGTTATTTAACAATAATTAGAGACGACAAGGTTTTCGAACTCGGGAGAACGCAAAATTGAAAGAATAAATAAAAGCGGCCGCTCCCAGGGGGAGAATCGAACGTGGGCCGCCGCGCAAAAGCCAAGCATGGCAACCACTCGGCCACGCACGCGCTCGCACGACGACGCGCGTGGCATCACGCGCGTCGCCGTGATGCCACGCGCTCATTACATCACCGTCACCTAAGGGTATTATTTAGGGCGAGGGCGTTCGATGCTATCGTGGCCACGTTTTTGAACCGAGATTATGTGGCACTTCAAAAGTCAAGCTGGAAAAGGAAGAAGACGTGTTCGAAATAGGAAGCCCGATTTGCTCGCTCCGCGTAAGCAAACCCGTTTCCTGGTTTCCCTGTCATTCCTGCGTTCTTTCACATTTGCAATTTTATATTAAAACTAACCCCCTGGCCGAGAATGCGGCACCGCACCAAGCTGTGACCCACAAACAACGGCCACCGGCTACATGGTCCCGATCACCACCCTCGCAGCCATCAGGACCCTGCGATCAAATGAATCCTTCGAATCAAAAAACCTCAACCATTGAGATGGCCACTCAGATTCCACCACCCAAGAGAGTGCGTACAGAAGAAATATCCAATGCAGATGAGGACAAATTATCCGTTAACAACATGGACGACGAAGACGACTCTACACCGTTCATCAAAGTGTCGTATCATAAGAACAGGCCATCTGGAATTCCGGTCATCTTCAAGCCGACATCACCTGAATCGTCATTTTGGAAGGTGAACCCAAATTCAATTGCAAAGGACATCGTTGCGGTAACGCAAGAAAAGGTATTGTCACACAAGATCAACAAGGATGGAAGCCTCTCTGTGAACGTGGCATCACTTGGATCCGCAAACAAACTACTGACGCTGCAATCCCTAGGAAACATCAAGGTCTTTGCAACCGTGCCACAGACATACTCAAGAAATTTAGGAAAAATTAAGAACGTGCCTCTTGAGTATCCAGACATTGCACTCCTCGAGTACTTTCTTGACGCCGGGGTAACGTCCGTGCAACGACAAGTTGCATACCTTCGCAAGGAGGATGGGACTGTCGAACCACGACCCTCTGGAAGCGTTATCCTTGGGTTTCGTCCCGACCGCCCGATGCCCCAGCGCGTGTTCCTTGGCTTCACTAGTCACCCCGTCGAAGAGTACTTTGGACCACCGGTTCAGTGCTTCAAATGCCAAAGATACGGCCATGTTGCCAAATATTGCCGAGGCCCACAACGTTGCAAAATCTGCGCTGGACCGCATCACTACAAGAACTGCACTTCTAAACAAGAACCAAAGTGTGCCAATTGCGACGGCAAGCACTCAGCATCCTTCTCCGGCTGCCCACGGAAGCATGCAGCAACCGCAGTAGCTCGCACAAGCATAATGAACGACCGAGCTCTCAGGCGCCGTGCGCCTTCACCTAACCCTGAGGTCGTCCGACTCCCGACGTTGTCTCCGACTCAACAAGAAAAACCCGAGAAACCTACATAAGCCGGTGCAGTAAATCGTCGTCCCAAAGCACGTGTGGCACATATGACTACAGAGACAGGTAGCAACAGTGTCGCACAACAAAAGAAGAATGCCGCCGAGACATCGACTATGGATGCGCCACGTGCAACACCGAACGTTCGATCCTCAGCGAACCATCGTCCATCGGATTCTTCGGAATCTGTGCCTACGCCACGATTTACGTCCCGTCAGCAAGGTGACATAAGTCAAGTATTGCTACCAATGTTCTTCGCAGCACTAAAGGCCATTCTGAAAACATCACCAGACGCTAACGATCTGCCAGAAGTAAGGGCGTTTCTCGCAATGGAACACCTGCTAAAGGCTTCAAATGATTCTTTAAAAAAATGAAAATAACGTCGGGTGCAATTGAAGATAATTATAAAAAGGCCACTATTTTCCAATGGAACGCAAGAGGATTAAGGTCCCGATTGTCCGATTTTAGACAGCTGGCTTTCAAGTACAAGTACCCTATTATTGTTATTTGTGAGTCCAGGTTGCCTTGCAACATGCGTTTATCAGGATACGAAAAGTTTGACTCCTTACGTACTAATGAGGAAAGTCGCGTGACTCTCTTCATTCGCAGAGAACTTACGTACGTGGCACATATTATTCCATCCCACCCGGACAATGAGTATGTTTGTGCTACAATTTCTGATGAAAAATGTACGTGCTCATTCACCATTATAGGAGTATATATACCTCCAAAGTCCAAGTTCGACAGAGCACGCTTAGAGAACATTCTGAACACAGTCCCATCGCCACATATAATTACAGGCGATTTTAACGCACACCACTGTATATGGGGCAGCCATCGC